GTGTAATACCTCCAACTTTGTTCTTTTTGCTCAGATTTGCTTTATTTGGGATCTTTAGTGGTTCCATACAAATTTTAGAATTGTTTTTCTTTCTTCTGTGAATAATATCATTGGTATTTTGATAAGGATTGCATTGACTCTATAGATTGTTTTGGGTAGTATGGACATTTTAGCAATAGTAATTATTCAAATCCATGAACATGGGATATCATTCCATTTTTTGTGAGTCTTCTTCAACTTCTTTCATCATTGTTTTATCATTTTCCTTGTAGAGAGCTTTCATTACTTCAGTTAAATTTATTTTTGGTTATTTCAATTTTTTGTAGCTATTATAAATGGGATTACTTTACTGTTTTCAGATTGTTTGTATTGGCATGTAGAAGTGCTACTAATTTTCATATGTTGATTTTGTATCCTGCAACTTTACCAAATTTGTTTATCAGTTATTATAGTTTCTTCACGGAATCATAAGGTTTTCAAAACATAGAATCATGTCATCTGGGAACAAAGATAACTTGACTTTTTCCTTTCCAATTTGTATGTCTTTTATTTTCTTTCTTTTGCCTAATTGTTCTGGCTAGAACTTCTAGTACTCTATTGAATAAAAATGTTGAAAATGGGGATCCTTGTTGTGTTCTGGATCTTAGAGGAAACGCTTTCAATTTTTCCTTATTCAGTATGTTAGCTGTGGGTTTTTCACATATCACCTTCATTTTTTTGAAGTATGTTGCCTTTATGTCCAATTTGTTGAGAGTTTAAATCATAAAAAAGTTGAAATTTATCAAACGCCTTTTAAGCATTTATTGAAATGATCATACAGCTTTTGTTCTTGATTCTGTCAGTGTGGTGTATCAAGTTTACTGATTTGCATATGTTGACCCATTATTGTATCTCTTGGATAAACCTCACTTGATCATAACGGAATGATCTTTATTAATATGTTGTGAAATTTAGTTTGCTGATATTTGTTAAGAATTTTTGCATCTGTGTTTATCAGTGAAATTGGTCTGTGGTTTTCTTTTTTAATTTTGTATTTGTCTAGTTTTGGTATCTTGGTAATGCTGGCCTTATAAAATGACTTTGAAAGTATTCCCGCCTCTTCAAGTTTTTTGAATAGTTTGTGTAGAATTGGTATTAATTGTGCTTTAAATGTTTGGTAGAATTCAACAGTGAATCCATCAGATCTTGGGCTTTTCTTTGATGGGAGACGTTTTATTACTGTTGTAATCTCATTACTTGTTATTAGTCTGTTCATGTTTTCTATTTCTTCCTGGTTTCATCTTGGTAGGTTGTATGGGTCCAGGAATTAATTTTTTTTCTAGTTTTTCCAATTTATTGGCATATAGTTATTCATAATAGTCTCTAATGATTTTCTGTATTTTTGTGGTATCCATTGTAATGTCTCCTTTTTTGTTTCTGATTTTATTTGAGTCCTCTCTCTTTTCTTTGATCTAAAGTTTTGTTAATTTCATTTATCATTTAAAAAATGCAATTTTTGTGTCACCAATCTTTTGTATTTTTTTAGTCTCAGTTTTACTCTGCCCTCATCTTTATGATTTATTTCCTTCTACTAATTATGAGTTTTTGTTTTTACTTGTCTTGTTCCTTGAGGTGATCTTTAGGTTATTTGAAGTCTTTCTACTTTTTTGATGTAGGTATTTATTGCCACAGAACTGCTCTTAGAACTGTTTTGATATATTATATAGGTTTTGGTTTGTCATGTGTCCATTTCATGTGTCTGACGGTAATTTTAAATTTCCTTTTTAATTTCTTCATTGACCCATTCAGTGTTCAGGAGTATGTTCATTCCCACGAATTTGTATAATTTCCAGTGTTCCCTTTTTTAAAATTGGTTTTTAGTTTTATTCCAGAATGGTGGAATAATTCTGATAAGAAATACTTTTGATATGATTTGGATTTTTAAAAAATGTGTCAAGACTTGTTTTATGACCTAATATATGATCTATCCTGAATCATCTTCTATATGCTGTTGAGAAAAATGTATATCCTGCAGCTGTTGGATAGAATGTTCTGTAAGTATCTGTTAGGTTTCCTTGGTCTAGAGTTCAGTTAACTCCAAAGTTTCTTTGTTGCTTTTTTGTCTGAGTGATCTGGTCATTACCAAAAATGGGGTGTTGAAATCTCCTACTCCTATTATATTGTAGTCAATCTCCCCCCCCCTTTTTTAAACATATTTGTGTGCTCCAGTATTGGGTGCATATATATTTACAATTGTTATGTATTCTTGCTGTACTGTCCCCTTTATCATTATATAATGGCCTTCTTTTTTTGTTATTTTAAAAGTGACTCTTGGCTTCAAGTCTAGTTTCTCTGCTATTAATAAAGCTATCCCTGTTCCTTTCATTTTCTATTAGCATGAAATATCTTTTTTCATTCCTTCACTTTTAGTCTGTAAATGTCTTTATAGATTAAGTGAACTTCTTGTAGATAGCACATAGTTGATCTTGTTTTTTAAATCCAATCAGCCACTCTGTGTCTTTTGGTTGGACAATTTGATCCATTTACATTCAAAGTTACTATTCATAAGTAAGGGTTTACTACTGCCATTTTGTGACTTGACTTCTTGCTGTTTTATGAATTCTCCCCTTTTTCCTCTCTTACTGTCTTCCTTTGTGCTAAGTGATTTTCTCTGGTAGCACATTTTTATTTCACGCTATTTGTTTTTAGTATATCTATTACAGGTTTTTTCCTTATGGTTAACATGAGGCTTACAAAACCCTCTTATATTTATAATAGATTATTTAAAACTGATAGTGACATATTTTATTGCAAAGAAAATATGCAAAACAACAAACTTTACAGTTTAACACCATCCTCTCACCACATTTTGACTTTTTTTTTTTTTTGAGATGGAGTTTTGCTGTTGTTACCAAGGCTGGAGTGCAATGGCGCGATCTTGGCTCACCGCAACCTCTACCTCCTGGGTTCAGGAAATTCTCCTGCCTCAGCCTCCTGGGTAGCTGGGATTACAGGCATGTGCCACCATGCCCAGCTAATTTTTGTATTTTTAATAGAGACAGGGTTTCACCTTGTTGACCAGGATGGTCTTGATCTCTTGATCTCGTGATCCACCCACCTCAGCCTCCCAAAGTGCTGGGATTATAGGTGTGAGCCACCATGCCCAGACACATTTTGACTTTTTTATGTTTCAATTTACTTTTTTCTACTTTGTGTATTGCTTAACAAATTGTTGTAGTTATTGTTTTTAATGGTTTTGTCTTTTAATCTTTATATTTAAGATACAGGTCATTTACTTACCCTAATTTCACTATTGCTGTATTCTGAATTGGTCTGTTTTCTCTTTTACCAATGAGTTTCATACCTGTAGATGTTTTCTTGTTACATGTTAGCATCCATTTGTTTCAGGTTGAAGAACACTGTTTAACATTTCTTGTAACACAGATCTGGTGCGGACAAATTCCCTCAGTTTTTGTTTGTTTGGGAAATTCTTTATCTTTTTTCTTGTTTTAATAGCTTTACTGGGCCATTATTCTAGGTTGGCAGTTTTTTTTTTTTTTTTTCCTTTCAGTACTTTCAAGCATCCCATTCTTACCCGGCCTGCAGGATTTCTGTTGTGAAATCCAGTGAAAGTTGTATTGGTATTCTGTTTAATGTAATATATTTCTTTTCTTTTGCTGCACTGAATCTTTTTTCTTGGTCTTTGATTTTTGCTAATTTGATTATAATATGCCTCAGGGATTTCCTCTTTGGGTTGAATTTGATTGATGACCTTGGAGATTCCTGTATCTGAATGGTGTCCTCTTTCCCCATCTTTCGGAAATTTTCACCATTGTTTTGTTAAATATGCCTTTTAGGCCTTTTTCTCTTTCACCTCCTTTGGGAATTCCTAATATGCAGAGGTTAGTTTGCTTGATCATGTGACATAATTCTTAAAAAGGACTTTTTCAAACTTTTAAATTCTTTTTTCTTTTTTTTCCCCTCTGATTAGGTAATTTCATATATGCTATCTTCAAACTTGCTAATTCTTTTCTCTAAGTCTGCTGTTGAAGCTTTCTAGTGAGTTTTCCAGTTTATTAGGATTTATAGAAAGGATTTGTTTGTTTTCTTATTTTTTTCATTTCTTTGCCAAATATCTCATTTCACTCCTAGATTACTTTCCAAATTTTTTTCCTACATTTTCTTGTTATTCTTTAAACTTGTTTAAGAGGATTATTTTGAGTTGTCTGTTTAGCATTTCCTAGATCTTCACTTCTTCTGGCTCCACTGCTGGAGCTTTGTTGATTTCTTTTGGTAAGGTCATATTTCCCTGAGTTTTTACAATTCTTGTGGCTTTGCCTTAATACCTGCACATTTTAGGAGATAGCCACCTCTTCAGTTGTTGCAGGTGTTCTTTGGTGGTGTTAGACCTTTACTACTTACTATCTAAACTTTCTTTTTTTAATTTTTTTTTTATTTTGGGGAGAATTTATAGTGAGTACCAAAACCAAATCACTGCACTGGAACTAACTTTTGCTCTGCCACTGTTTCCCAGTCTGGGAAAGACTAAAGCAGTCACTGGAACTCAATCCCAACGCTTCTAGTTGTTTCTGGTCCAGTGGAGGCTCCACGGGAACACCTAGTCTTTGTTGAAAATCTGGCTAGGGATTTAGGCCTTCTCACAGACTGTGTCCCCTACAGCACTATGGTGCCAGCCAATCTGTTCAATGTGGTGTCCATACTGACTGGAGTGCAGAATAACTGCCAAGATCCATGTGCCAGTTGCTATGATCAGTGTCCCACTCTTTGTCCCAGTTTATCCCAAGTAGTTCAGCCCTTCTGGCACTCCCAGTTGTTTCCATGGGATGGGGGCAGAAGTGGGTTTCATGAGAAGATTCCCAGACTGGTGGGTAGATTGTACATCTACTTCCAACTTCCTCTTCTTACCTCAGAAACCATGAGTCTAGGAAAATTCTCTATGAGTGATATTATGCCAACTTGATGGAGGGGGCTGTGATGTTTGAAATGGCCATTTTTCTTACCTGTTACAGCTTCTCTCAGTTCTGGGGTTTCTTCAATTCTCCCTTGAATTGTGGTGAACTCAGGGTTGTATGCTTGTCTTTAAGCAGTTTCTAGTTGTATTTTTATGGAGGAGTGATAGTAGGGAATCTTCTATTTCATCATCTTGCTGACCTCATTCCCTCATTTCAATTTAGCTTAAATTTCTTCCTGGAGCTTTTCAACAAGTTAATTGAAACTTTTCTATTAGAAACACAAAATAATAACAGGAAGAAAAATAAGGAACCATTATAATCATAAAACAGAAACATAAAGTATAAAGCTATCTATCTACACAAGTTGCATGTAAGTAATTTTATTGGTTGTTGCAGAAATTAAACTGATGAGGCTCTGCATCAGTTTCTGTGGAAAATGAGAAATAATTTTTAATTGCAAAGATAATAATGACTTTGGAATCCCCATATCTAGCTCTGCTTCCCAGGCCTCTCCTTTCCTGATATTTGTTGCACGTACTCTCTTCACTCCTCTCCTTGCAATTTTTTTCTTACTCAGTTTTTTTTCAGCACAACTTCACCTCCTTTTTGGTCCTTCTGCCTCACTGAATGCTTCCTTTCAGGTTGGCTTATTTTTATTTTTATTTTTTTGAGACTGAGTTTTGCTCTATCAGTCAGGCTGGAGTGTCGAGTGCAGTGGTGCGATCTTGGCCTACTGCAACCTCTGTCTCCCAAGTTCAAGTGATTCTCCTGCCTTAGCCTCTAAAGTGGCTGGGATTACAGGCACCCACCACCATACCTGGCTAATTTTTGCACTTTTAGTGGAGATGGGATTTCACCACATTGACCAGGCTGGTTTTAAACTCTTGACTTCAGGTGATCTGCCCACCTCAGCCTCCCAAAGCCACCTTGCCCAGCCTCAGATTGGCTTTTGATGTTTCTTTGCCTAAGTCATGATCTGCAGGTGCTCCCTTTATGGAATCATCACTTACGGATCAGCTAATGACTTACAAATATTGATGCTTGCCCTTGACTCTTTTACTAGTAAGCTCAGTCTAGACCAGTGTTTTTAGCTTGGAGGTCAAGTAAGTAATTCAAACTCTAAATGTTTGAGACTGAATTCACTATTAGCCCCACAACCCAATTTGCATTTACCATCTGTGATAAAAACAGCATCATCTTCTTAGTCACTCATTCTGAAATAATACTCAACTGCTCCTCAGCAATTCCTCTTTTCTCAATACCAATTCACTCTCTGTCTTGAAACATTAAGAAACATCTCATTACACTGAAAGTAACATAAATATTTAAAAGAAAAATTACCCTATATGCCTATTAATAGGAAAATATACACCAAAATTGTTTCTTGGAGAAAACACATCTTTTCTCAGTCCCTTGGGGATGTAAACCTTTCTATGTCTTTAAAATGTAAACATCTGAGGAGTTAACTAAAACAACTCCTTTGCTCAGCCCATCTGGAACTTAAAAAAAAAAAAACAAGATGGCTAAAAAAACAAACAACTGCAGGCTAGGCGTCGTGGCTCACATCTATAAGCCCAGCATGCTTGGAGGCCAAGGTGGGTGAATCACGAGGTCAGGAGTTCAACACAAGCCTGACCAATATGGTGAAAACTTGACTCTACTAAAAATACAAAAATTAGCTGGGCGTGGCGGCACATGCCTGTAGTCCCAGCTACTCAGGAGGTTGAGGAAGAAGAATCGCTTGAACCTGAGAGGCAGAGGGTGCAGTGAGCCGAGATCACACCACTGCACTCCAGACTGGGCAACAGAGCAAGACTCCATCTCAAACAAACAAACAACAAAACCAAACAATTCCAAACCATGAGGATCACTTCCTTTCCCCAATCTAGTTCATATTCTCCATGAAATTACCTATCAAGAGCAAATAAAAAAATTTAAAAGTATTTTCCACAAATATTTTTAAAAAGTTGTCTCTATTTGAGCAGGTAAACTTAAGTTTTTTCATCTACCTGAAACACATCTTGGAACCAACTTTTCTTTTATAAACTAGTGAGTTCTGTATTATTGTACCTGCTTATGGCTAAAATTTTAGAATGAAAGCTATAAATATTTCTGTTGCAGCTGGGCTGTGTGTTTAGGTATGTCTGTGATTGATGATATATATAATACTTTTTCTACTTCTGGATGGTATTGCCAAAAGTAACTTGTAAAAGGGCTCTATTTAACTTTCTTAAAGAAAAAAAAATATTGGGAGGCTGAGGCGGGTGGATCACGAGGTCAAGAGATCGAGACCATCCTGGTCAACATGGTGAAACCCTGTCTCTACTAAAAATACAAAAAATTAGCTGGGCACGGTGGCGTGTGCCTGTAATCCCAGCTACTCAGGAGGCTAAGGCAAGAGAATTTCCTGAACCCAGGAGGCGGAGGTTGCAGTGAGCTGAGCTCGTGCCATTGCACGCCAGCCTGGGTAACAAGAATGAAACTCCGTCTCAAAATAAAAATAAATAAATAAATAAATAAATGCTTATATTTCTAGAAATATAGACACTAACTCACGTTTTCCAAGTTCATATGAGCTAAGATAACTTTTGGTAAATAAAGCTAGCTCAAGTTTGTTGGTTTGATAAGAACAGGCATGTCTTCAGGTTGTAGACATTGAATATAATTCAAATATACATTTTTTTTTTCTACCTGGGGTTACTACTTAAACAAGCTACATTATCTCTGACATTTAAGTTTATGAGATTATAAATTCAACTTAAAAATAAAACATACAATAAAAGTAAATTTCTTAATGTTTGTCTAGCATGATGGTAAAGGGGAAAAAAGCTGTATGTTTAAATTTTCTGGTGCATTGCTTAAGTGATGTTTGATGATGCTTGCCTAATAGGTTACAAAAATTGCCAATAAGAAAAACAGCTTCAAATGAGAACTAGCTTTGTCTAATGTCACATGGAATTTTCATGAGTAGTCAAAACATAATTTTAAAGAATAAGTCAATTAAATACATGTAAATGAGATAAAAGTTCATAAATAAACTTTACAAGAATAATTATGTTTTATAAAAATGTATATGCTTAAAAATTTTCCAAAGTCTTTCTGGTAATTTGAAATCGTAAATTATACTCGATTAAGTTAAATAATGAATATTAATTGAATATTTAGGTCATTTACAAATACGATGAAATACCCAAACATTAATTACTGAATATAAGTCTATCTACTTCGGCTTCTTAATTGATACAAAGAGAAAAGATATTTAGACCTGTTAATAATGTGCTCTTCTTGTTATATTGAAAAAATTATGCTACAAAAGAGGCCTACACCTCCAGAAATTATGAAATGATTTATTCACAATATTCACAACTTGCCTAATCTATGACAGAATGTTAGTCTACAACACAAAGTTTGCAATTGCTTACTTCTAGTTATTACTGGAAATTATGATTAAGGTTAAAATTAGAACAAAAATGTATCATAAAAACTACTGGAAATAAGAAACAAAACTCTGTAGGCAAAGAATGTAATGAAAATAGGATGTGTTTTTGGCAAGAAAAATTATGAGGTATAAAAAGACGTATTTTGTTGAGGGAATAGGAGAATAATTTTGTCCTAGTTTAGAGGTTATTTAAAGATTGTTTTGTAATTTCAAAAAGAGGAGAATCAAATACAAAAATTAAGTGAATACAGAAAGCTGGGGAAAGAGAGAGGCAGAGAGAAAGAGCCAAGAGCAAGCAAGCTAGTAAACAAACTAGAATTTGGTCTTTTCTCTGTTAAAAGAACAAAGTTGCCAGGCACGGTGGCTCATGCCTGTAATCACAGCACTTTGGGAGGCTGACGTGGGTGGATCATGAGGTCAAGAGATCGAGACCATCCTGGTCAACATGGTGAAACCCTGTCTCTACCAACAATACAAAAAACTAGCTGGGCACGGTGGCACGTGCCTGTAATCCCGGCTACTCAGGAGGCTGAGGCAGGAGAATTGCCTGAACCCAGGAGGCAGAGGTTGCCATGAGCCAAGATCGCGCCATTGCACTCCAGCCTGGGTAACAAGAGTGAAACTCCGTCTCAAAAAAAAAAAAAAAAAAAGGACAACAACAAAAAAAGAAAGAACTAAGTTTTCTTGATTTTTATATAAGAGTTTTTATTACCTGTCAAATAATCAAATTATTAAAATAACATTTTGTGCTCCTTGTTGTCTTTATCGCGTCCTTGATTACTTAAGAAAACAAAATATTAAAAGATACTGAAAGAAGGCCAGGCATGGTGAGACATACCTATAATCCCAGTGCTTTTAGAAGGCTGAAGTGAAAGAAATGCTTGATCCCATGAGTTTGAGGCTAGCTTGAGCAACATAGCAAGACCTAGTCTCTACAAAAAAATTGAAAATTAGCAGGGTATGATAGTGCACACCTGTAGTCTCAGCTACTCAGGAGGCTAAGGTGGGAGGATTGCTTGAGCCCAGGAGTTCAGAGTTGCAGTGAACTATGATTATACCATTTCACTCCATCCTGGTCAACAGTGAGACCCTATCACAAAAGCAACAAAAAAGACATTGCAAGAGCAAAGTTTTTTTTTTGTTGTTGTTGTTTGTTTGTTTGTTTTTTACAAGTATGCAACTTTATGTATTTGTTTTTGAAACCTTTGTCACTCTGGTTAAATAGATGATACGATTTGTATATTTGTCCCATCCAAATCTCATGTTGAAATGTGACCCTCTCCAGCCTGACCAACATGGTAAAACCCCATCTCTACCAAAAAATACAAAAATTATCTGGACATGGTGGCATGAGCCTGTGGTCCCATCTACTTGGGAGGCTGAGGTGGGATAATTGCTTGAACCTGGGAGACAAAGGTTGCAGTGAGTTGAGATGGCACCTCTGCACTTCACCCTGGGCAACAGAGTGAGACCCTCTCTTGAAAAAAAAAAAAGAAAGAAAAGAAAAGAAAGAAAGGTGACCCCTGATGTTGGAGGTGGGTTCTAGTGGGAGGTGTTGGGTCATGGGGGTAGGTCCCTCATAAATGGTTTGGTGCCCTCCCTGTTGTAATGAGTGGTGACGAGTTTATGCAAGAACTTCTTCTTTAAAAAGCCTGGCCCCTCCCCACCAACTTTCTTGCTCCCTCTCTTAGGATTTAATATGTTGGCTCTCCTTTCCCTTTCTGCCTTGACTGCAAGCTTCTTGAGGCTCTCACCAAAAGGAGATGCCAGTAGTATGCTTCCTGTACAGGCTGCAGAACCATGAGTAAAAATAAACCTGTTTTCTTTAT